ATAAGGGGCAGGACGTGAAAGGTGTGGACAATAGATGTGAGCAGTGTACAAACGTCCTGGGAAGTGGGAGAATGTTGAGTGGGTCGAACCATCAGAAAATTGGAGTAGCTGTCGATGGCGGAGATGAGATAGAAGCGAGTCGGCCCATCGACTGACCTGAGATAAGGACCTGCATGTCACTGTGCAAGCCAACGAATGGGAATGGAGCTCGGGGGATAGAACTGCTTGGGAAGAGGGATTGGCGGTCCCCTGGGAAGGACTTCCCGCGGGCACAGGTGTCACAGGAGAAGTGGTTGATGGCGGAGGCTAAACCCGGAGCATCAATGTACTCCTGTAGCTGGGCCAGGAGTGCGGCATGACCTTCATGGTCATGAACCTCGGCTAGAAATTCCCCGAGTCGATCAGGCGGGAGTTTGACCTTCCCATCAGAGATCGGAAGTTGCTGGAGCCACTGACGGAGGCTGACTTCCTGCTCGAAGGAGCACGAACTCGGAGCTTGGATAGCAATCACATCTACACAAGGGGTAGAATCAGTGCCAGAATATTCCTTGACGAGTCCTAGCAATTCGCGAGAGAGAGTTTGCGGGATTCGAGAGGGCCCATCCGCGATGTTTGCGGAAGTAGGAACATGTTCAACCGTGAAGGCAATGTGATAGTTTGTGCATACATCGTGGATGAGTTGGATACGGCTCTCGATGGCATTCCGGAAGAGACCATGGATCTTCGTCCAATGGCGACTGGTCGATCGACTGAGCCATGCCACCACGGACATATTGTCGGTACAAGTCGTCAAGGAACAGCGGGCCATACAAAATGCCTGCATGTAATCGATGGCAATCCCGAGTCCTCGTAGGACCGCCTCGACTTCGAGAATGTTGATATGACGCTCACAGTCTCGGTCTCGAAGCCAGGCACGGTCCTCACACCGGACGTCGCCCACGCATAAGACCGCAGCGCAGCCGATGGCGCTGGCATCCGTAAAGAGCACCCAGAGATCTGAGCCTGTAGCCTGCCATACTCCACCAACTGGATCACCATAGGTACGGATGTATTGTAAAACGTGGGAGTAGGCGGTACTAGTATTGGTCGGGATTGAATAGTCGTAAGGGCGAGTTGCGGCTGGGGCGGCCAAGGCAAGAATTCGGGTACACAGGGCACAGGTCAAACGTGACCAGTCACAAACGGGGTAGAGTGCGGTGAGTTTACTAAGCAAAGAGGCTAGGGCTTTGCGGGTGGTAGGTAGTGTTGTTAGATCTATGGGTTTTTTCCGAGTCCAACGGCCTACCGGGGTGATGGTAACTCCTAGCACACTACTGCCAGCCAGCGTTTGTGATGGTTTCGTGCTTAGATCGTCCTGGGCCAGAGCTTTTTCTACGACGACAAGATCACTCCGGTGTACAGCCACGTCATCGACATACTTTTTCACTGGAAAGTGAATCGTGGTTGCATCCAAACAGTGTGTCATAGCCCGGTCCAGGGCTTCGCCTGCAATGTGGAGACCGAATCCGACCCTCGACAGCCTAAAAGTGTTCGGTTCAGGCCAGTCAGGGAATATGATGCCTTGCCAGTATTGTTGAGATTCTGCCACACGTAGCTTAAGATACGCTGTGGTCACATCGATTATGAACCAATCGTGTCGATCACATACACGCCACGAGCGTAGCTCGCCCAGGCAGGCGGTCGGTGGACCTTTTGAATGAGGGCAACTTACAAGGAGATCCAATGTTTAACCTAACATAATTTAAGACTGGATGCACTTTCGTGTGCTTGCCCATGCTAACATGAGGAAAGCATGTAAGAACGCCCTTCAGTTTAGAGAGATCAGTAAGGATCAAAAAGTTATTACGGACCCATGATTGCAACTGGTCATCAGATATTTGTCGTTGTAAGTCGCTAAGCCTGCCCAAATTGTCTGGGAAGCACGGAGGTTTGGTTATGGGAAAAATCGGTTCCGTGTCAGATAACCATTTCCACTCGACTTCCGAACAGTGCAATGACTGGGGGGCATTTCATCGACGACGTAGAGAGAAGTCAGGTTCCACAATGACGACATCAGCGAGCTGGCACCACAAAGTGGCCTCTCGACCAGACGATTATGCACTAGATTGTGGAGAAATGGTCCAGGGAGGGAATTTTCCGGGACGCACCGACAATGATGCATCAATTGCGAAAAGCCAGTCCATCCCAAGCATAACGTGAACATCTGCTGACTGGAGACTCAAGAAGGAATGAGTTGGAGAAATCAAGAACCTCATATGTGCGCCCAGAAAGTAGTGCTCGTCCAATGTTCTAGAGAGCGCAAGATTGCCGGTCAAAGTGCGAACATGAGTGGACTCAGTCGAAACCGACAGAGATCTGCCGAAGATTTTCTCCGAAACAGTGTGAGATAGAACGGTCACAGTCGAGCCGGTGTCGATCAGAGCGACAAAATGTTCACTGAGCGGCATACGGTCAAATCTGCAGAGTAACAGGATGGTAGTTGTCAGTGGCATAATCCGGTTGCCCGAACAAACTTCCCGGTGTTACCTTCCGAGGTGATGGACAATCGCGGGATAGGTGCCCTAAGGGCACTGCCCTTTCCCTCCACAATTGAAACAACGGGGACCAGAACGATAGGGAGACGAGGAGAGGCTGATCTAGTATCGGGTGCTGAACGGACAGGATGCCCCTTACCCTTGCCCTTGCCCCTGCTATGCTGATAAGTAGGGCAGTAGAAATGACCCTGAACAAGAGCAACGCCTTCGTGCCCTTCGACACGAGCGGAGCGGGTAAGGCTCAGAGCAGTCTCGACCAGGGGGACACCCGCACGAACTTGGGTTAGCCAAGCTGTTCGCATGTTGTCAAAGCCTGGAACAGAAGATGGTAGGGCATAAATGGGCCAAATGGACATCGCCACTACCCAGTCCAAGCACTGGCCTGACAACGACAACACTTTAGGAAGACTGTACGACAGGTACTTCTGTAAGTCACCGATCAGAGCGGCGGTCGTCTCGCCAACATTTAGGCAGCGATTGCGGGCCAGGGCCCACAGATCGTGGCGGCTAACCCCGAGGCGTTCCTGCAATACGGAAACACCAACGTGGAACGCTTGAGGATCGTTGATGGGGAGTCGAACATTGTTAGTCAAAGCATTGTAGGCTACTAGGCGAGTGTTCAAGAGGAGATATTGATAATGATGAGACGGGGCGATATTGAGGAGTTTCAAATGGGCCTTGAGGCTGTGGGCTGCTTGTCGGTCCCCGTGAACTTCTCGCCCAAATCATGAGACTTAATGGTACGGGGGCCTTTGAGGGAATGGCTAGGCCAGTTGTTGGAATCGGTGGCCTACCGCTCTCGACACCTGCAGCTGGGGCGGCCTCTGGCCCCCCTTCTCGGGCTGCAGGAGGAATCGGTGGAGCCGATCCCGTGGGAGAGGGGGGACGGACCCTTCTCCTGATCATAGCCACCAAGGGCGAGGACATACTCCTCAGTCTCACTCCAAGAGCCAGGGACCTCCTCGAATGCAGGGGAGTCAGAGGGGACACTCATGGAGCCACAAGAAGGGGTAGAACCCACTGAAAAGATGTTCCTGGGTCTGGGCACCATGTTGTGACTCACTCGGGAATGCCTACTATGAACACAAGACGATAAGGACTGCTGGTACGGTATCAGTCGAGACGGGACTGATGAATGCGGGAGCAGTGTGCACAGAACTAGAATGCACATGCGTACGCCACAGCTAATATCGATCAGACACTTATATGTGCGTCGCTCCGCTGGACTCCACTACACTGTCGTTTGTCAACCAGTACTGATCGTCAAATGGGACCAAGCGGATGGTAACACCGAGCACTGTACATATCCTCTCAGCCATGCTGAGCTTGAGAGGTATCGCCTTACTGTCGACTGTCGCCCACTCAACAACCTTCGGCTACTGGTGGATGCTGACGGTGCGTTTTGTTCATGCCAGTCGATAGTCAACACACAAGTTGCAAGGATGAGGGAGAGCATATCTACAAGCAGTACAAGCAGTGCCACTCTGCTCCTGCGTGAGATTCCGAGTGAACACATGGGTTGTTGGAGTGAGGTTGATCTTGAGGTTGCCTACGGTACTCTCTGCGTTTCAACTGCACTCTTACGGTTGTTCGGCACTGTCAGTATTGACTCTAATGGCCAACATGTTGGGAAGCCTCGCTCAAGGCTGGCGATAGGCTCCCTCGCTATTCCAACTGGAAGTGACAACTACCATTGATGAAGATATTAACCTGGCCCTTGCCAAAGCCGGATCGAAACTCTCAGTCATTCATGTCCAAGACGATATCTTGATCGTCAGTTGTGACATTGACACTGGTAACCGGGCGTCCATTATCGTCACTGATATTCTAGAGCAACGTCCTGGTTTCATCGTCAACCGCGTCAAGTCCCAACCTCCTACGAAGGTCGCTGGCTCCTGTGTCTGGATGGCCGTCTCTCCTCCGAGGCTCAACATGCTCTCAATCAGCTATACTCCGTTACCAAGGTCTATCAAAACGATGATTCTTCTACTGAGGAATTTGATTTCCCAATTGACACTGTCTCGTCAGCCTCCCGTGTATTGTCTGACTTCTATCTCAGACTGAGATTCTCAGTGGAGTGATACCTTGTGCAATCGGAAATGATGGCATTGCTACTTTGGTGGCAATGCTCACTCCTATGGCGGCATCATACTCAGGGTACTAAAGGTCGGTGCTGATGCTGAAGGTTCGCCCCGGCCACGAAAGCCGTGCTCAAGCATGTTTCTGATCTCGAAGTGTACTTGGATGAGAATATCAAACTTCTGGCTGTGGTTCCCATCAAGACTTGCGGAGCACGTTGGTCTCGGGTGGAGTCATCAAGAAGCTCAACATAGCGAGAACGAACCAAATTTCGTAACTCTAGTTTTCGGTAAATGCATCGCCGTAATCGACAACATCAATGCCCAACGAGTATGCAACGGGCTTGAGGGCGAATTTAGTGTGGGCAGCTCCCTCAGCAAATGGCGGATGGTTCAGCGACATATTCATTCATTCGCCTGGGCTCCTCGTGACGCTCTGCCTGCCACTGTCCAGATGTCCAGTGCCCAGGTTGCCGCCACTGACGACTTGCATTTCAAGCCTGACTACCTTCCTGGCCACCAACTACGAGCTGTCTTCATGGAATGACGTCACACATCGTGCAGAAAGGAGTTCACCACGCTCGATGACGGTTTCGACTGCTTGCATTGGCTGGCCAAGGCTCAGCTGAATGTCCCCAACTTCAGCAACTTTGGCAAGTCAACCCCGGGAAGTATCAACTCAA